GCCAAGATTTTATGATACGCGCCAGGCTGGGCCCGCGCGTTGGAAGGAAAAGTCAGCCTACGCACGTCACGTTGGCCGATGGTCACACACAAAAGTCAATCGACCTCTGCGTTGACTCTGTGCCCATGTACTTTGCCGTGCTCGCATGCGAGGCCGTGTCATTCGACATATTGGACACTAAGTTCGATATGATCTTAGGCATGTCGTGGCTGCAAAGCGAAGACCACCCAGTAAACTTTTTCTGACTCACCGTTCACGTTCATGATCGGCGTGGCGAACCAGTTCCATGCACGGTGCCGCCTCCTCATCCATCGATTGGTTGTCACGTGGTCTCCGTGGCAAGCATTCACCAATCCATCCGCCGGCACGACGTCGAGGAGATGGGCATTTGTTTTCTTCACGCCCTCCCACCCGTTGACCAAGCCAAGACGGACACATCGGACCCACGCATCATCGAGTTTTTTGACAGCTATGAGGATGTCTTTCAAGCTCCCACCGGAGTAGTATCGGATAAGCCCATCCGACACGGGATCACTCTCGAGGACGGCGCCGTACCTCCGCGCGAATGAGCGAAGAGGAACTTCAAGTGCTCCAGGCACAACTAGATGACCTCTTGGCCAAGGGCTGGATTCGCCCTAGCTGTCCGCCATACAGTGCCCCCGTTCTCTTCGTTCAGAAGAAGAACAAGGACCTCCGTTTGTGTATCGACTATCGGAAACTTAACACGCAAACATCAAGCACGTCGGATCGATGATCTTCTCGAGCGACTAGGCGGCGCTAAGTACTTCTCAAAGTTGGACCTCAAATCAAGGTATCACCACATCGAGATCCAGCCAAGAGATCTGTACAAGACTGCGTTCAAGACAGAGTATGGGCACTTTGAGTAGATCGTCATACCTTTCGGTCTCACCAATGCCCCGGTCACCTTCCAAGCTGCCATGACGACAAAATTTCGCGACCTGCTCGACCGCACCGTACTTATTTACCTTGATGACATCTTGGTTTATAGTCGGTCGCTGGACGAGCATCTCGAGCACCTTCGCGACGTTTTGGAGCAGCTTTGTATCTCCAAGTACAAGGCGAACCGCGACAAGTGCGAGTTTGCCCAGCAGGAGCTGGAGTATATGGGCCATTACGTTAGGTCGCAAGGCATTCGTCCACTCGCGGACAAAGTACAAGCCATTCAAGATTGGTCGGACCTCGCGTGTACTACCGACATCAGCTCCTTTCTCGGCTTAGCATCATACTACATGCACTTCGTCAAGAGCTTCCAACGGATCGCTACACCATTGACGCGACTTCAGTCCCCCTTGGTGCCCTTCGAGTTCAACGACGAAGCCCGACACGCGTTCCGTACGTTGAAGACGACTTTGCTTCAGGCTCCCGTCTTGAGCATCTATAACCCGACCTTGCCTACCAAAGTGACTACGGATGCTTCCGGCTACAACATTGGCGCGGTTTTGGAACAGCATGACGGCACAAACTGGCATCCGTTGAGTACTTCAGCCAAAAGGTGCCGCCCATCAATTCCCTTGATAATGCGAGGAAGAAGGAACTGCTAGCTTTCGTCACGGTACTTCAGCGTTGGTGTCACTTTCTCCTCGGGCGTCGACGATTTACATGGGCAACGGACAACAATCCGTTGACTTATTACAAGACGCAAAACAAGGTCGGCAGCACAATCGGTCGCTGGATGTATTTCATTGACCGGTTCGACTTCACCTCCAAGCATATTCCGGGCCCCTCGAACAAGGCAGCGGATGCTCTCTCGCTAAGACCCCATCTTTGCGCCTTGGTGCACTCCACATTCGGCCTCGACGAGGACCTGCAACAACATTTCGTAAACGGCTACAAGTCGGATCCGGGATTCTCCACACTCTACGCGGACTTATCATCGGATCACCCGCCAGCAAGCAACTATCGAATTGTCGACGGCTACTTGGTTCTCCATACGCGAGGCAAGGATTTGTTGAGTGTTCCCCAGACCCGCATCTTGCGCACTCGCCTCCTTGGCGAATACCACGATTCGCGGCTGGAGGGACACCTTGGCGTCAGACGCACACTTGCACGACTCCGTCAACGATTTCATTTGTCGGACATCATCATCGACGTCAACCGGTACATTCAGTCATGTGCACTTTGCCAACGGAACAAAGGGCGCCATCAGCTCCCGTACGACGAACTGAAACCACTGCCGATTCCTCGAGAACCAGGTCTCTCCATTGCTATGGATGTGACTAGTCCTTTCCCTCGCGATCGCCTTGGCCATGATGGTATTCTCACGGTCGTCGACCGTTTGAGCAAGTACGCTCGATTTCTTCCATGCAAGTATCATGCGACGGCTCCCAAGCTCGCACGACTTTTGCATACCGGCTGGTTTTGCAGCCACGGCGTTTCGGAAGACATCGTCAGTGACCGCGACACTCGTTTCATGTCAGCCTTTTGGACGGCACTCATGGTGGAATCCAGCACCAGCACAAAACAGAGTTCCGCATGACATCCTCAAACGGATGGGCAAACCGAACGTGCGGACCAGACTGCGCAGATGATGCTCCGCACACTCATCCGCCGGGATCAAAAGGACTGGGTTGACCATCTTCCCGACATCGAATTCGCCTACAACACTTCGGTGCACCCGACAATCGGCGTGACTCCATTCGAGTTGCATCACGGTGGACGGAAAGGCCGTATCTTCGCATACATTTTGCTTCCACGGCCTGCCGATATCGACGCCGCTTGCTCCCCCGCTTCTACACGGAAGTACCGGGATCTGCTGGCCCAAGCCCGCGCAAATATGCAAAAGGCTTAGGTCCGTATGCATTTGACGACCCACGCTGGCGACCTTTTTGGGTCACCTCCGAGGAATTCACGCTTGAGCAGCACGTCTCGCGCAAGCTCCTCCCTAAGTGGTTTGGGCCACGGAAGGTCACTTCAGCAGCTGGCGGCGACCGTGGGGGTCCCTCTTTCGTAATCGAGATCCCCCCGCATTTGACGGTCCACCCAGTATTTCACGCTTCAAAGATGGCAGTATACCCTCCAGCCTGACGAACGGACTTTCCAAGCGGACGGTCCCGCAACCCTCCTTCAATGGACCGTCGGAAGGTCACTTCAGCAGCTGGCGGCGACCCCGGGGGTCCCTCTTTCGTAATCGAGATCCCCCCGCATTTGACGGTCCACCCAGTATTTCACGCTTCGAAGCTGGCAGTATACACTCCAGCCTGACGAACGGACTTTCCAAGCGGACGGTCCCGCAACCCTCCTTCAATGGACNACCCAGTATTTCACGCTTCGAAGCTGGCAGTATACACTCCAGCCTGACGAACGGACTTTCCAAGCGGACGGTCCCGCAACCCTCCTTCAATGGACGGTCACCAGGAGGTCGACCGTGTCCTTGCTCATCGCAAGCACGACAACAAGCCGATGCAGTACAAAGTTACATTCAAGCAATGTGATCCCGACGACACACGCTGGATTTCATGAGCTGACCTGACACACCCCTTTCGCGCACTACGAAAAACAGCAACTTGCTAAGGAAGCTGCCCAACCTGCCCGGCCCACACGGACATCAGACAGACAGCTTCGCCCTCACAGTTAGCTCGGTCTTCAAGGGGGGGAGTGTGTGGCATACTGATACCACACGGGCCCCAGTTAGGGCCCGGTTCTGTAGTAGGCACGGGTTAGGCCTAGGTACCAGGTCACGACGGTCCCAGCCAGGTCCAGGTAGGCCTAGGAACCGTCGGTTCAGATTAGAGTCCGGTAGGCCTAGTTTAGACCCCACCAGACCCAACGGCAAGTTGGGTTAGGCCAGGTACCGGTCCATCGATAGGACCGGCTGGCAGCGCAGCTTAGGTGCCACTTTACTTTCAGATTTTGGAATCGGATCTGAACCGTTGGGGCTGATCAACGGTCCACACCTGAAGGCACCTGTAGTACTGAGGCCGGCCCAGCACTATATTAGCTGGGTACCAGCCTCAGGAGGGAGGTTAGTCTACAGGTTAGTCTGGGATTGCGTCTCAGCGTGAGAATAGCGGAGCGACAAGGAGGATTAGCGCAGCAGCGGTTGGCACCAGCGCTCTGGTCCAGCACGCCACCCAGCGCCAGCACTGCAGCGCCATAGCTGCATCGCTGAGCTCGGCCCAGCGGACTTCAGCAGAGTCAGCGCGCCCACCCAGGTATCAGAGAGAGAGGCTTCGCCTTTCCTCCCTCTTCCTCTTTCTCCTCCTCCCCTCCTACACTTCTTTCTCCTCCTACCCTCTAAGTATAAGTCCACTTCTTCGGTTACTCCCACTAGGCTACTGGACTACTACAAGTATGAGGGATGGTTACGAGTTCAGATGATATTGGAGATAGCAACATTGAGGCTGCAGGTGGAGGACTACTTTTGGGATCTGACTTCACTACCTCTGGAGATGTAACTTAACATTGTGAGATCAATATCTGAGACACTCTGAGACTCTGTATTCGCGACATTCGGATTTTCGCTACTTCTGACATTTCGACATACTATTTTGGGAAACGCTGAGTTGACGTCATCTTCCCTCTCCTCCTCCCTTCGTCGCTCCTCCCCTCCATTCATCTGTGTATGAGAGCTGACCCTGGCCTTTTCTTCTATGTCCAAGGCCAGGGCTTTCACACCACCGATGTATGTTTGTGAGGGATTTGTTGCAGTCTGAGTCAGGTTTGAGTCAGTCCATGTGTATCAAGTCTTCAGCTGTATTTGTACTTTGTATTATCTGGTCGATTCTAGGGAATCTGCGCCGTACTTATGGCTGTGTTTCACGAGTATGCAACAGCATGGCAGACGGGATGAATTCCATGGAATGACAAATAACTTATCGCCAGGTGACAAGGTTGCATTCTCAAATACTTAAAATCTCCGTTCACAGATTTCCAAATGTTTTTAGCCTCTTGGTTTGATGATTCGTTACGCAAGTCAGGGAATGGTGGCAAGAGGGGAGGGCTGTGTAAGAAAAAGTGGATGCATTCATAACCCACCAATCTTATTTCATAATGATATTGTGACATAAAGGTAGGCAACCGCGTCAAGGAAGGACTCTGTGAGAGGAAAATAAGTCTACATTCGTCACTCACCAGAACTCTGGCTGGCCCGCGAATCTTGCACTGTGACAATCTCAGGCACCTCAACGGGCCTCAGCAATGCTTGTGATATATCGCCACCCTTAGAAAGTGCCTCAATTGCACGGTCTAGAAGACTTGGCTTCTTTTCATGTCCACATTTCTCCAAAAATCCCTGAAAATTCTGTGAGTTCAGCCATGTCTCCAACTGTATCCATGAGAGACCACCACAACCAGACAAGGCTCCCAAAACAACCCCATGGCCATCAACGACAGCACGCAAATGGACACATGAAATGCCGCACATAAAAATGTCGCACATAGAACCAAGGACAACAACAATACCACAACATACAAATGCCCAACTGTCACTTACCGGATGCCAAAATTGAGTTTAAAGTTTGAACTTGCACCACACAATAAAACCATAACTTTCCACGTAAAGTTGGGCTTGCATACCGATGTGCAGTGACTAATTACTACCTCGGATACAGAACCAAACCACCCGTCCCTGAAGGATCAAGGATGATCCCCAAGTAGCCTTCGATAGTGACCTGCTAGCTGCTGAGACAGCGAGGCAAGAACTCAACATTGAAGTAAATGAATTAAAACATGCAGCATGTATGTCCTGCTCTGCAAGATGTAAACCAATGTTTCGGACAACCTTTGGCTATAAACTAAAATGAGCGCCCCGTACTCCGCCCGACATAAGACAATCCTTGAAACAACCCCAAGAAGGTTCGATGACCTACAAGTGCTACAAAGTGAAGCCAAAAAAGCTTCATAGTAAGTTCATACCGATTCACTTTGAATTCTATGCTAACTCATTGTGTCAATCCCGCTAACGTGCTGCATCAATCCACCAGAAATGACTACCTGAGAACGAATCCAGATGGCACCAGATGAATAAAATCAGCTAATTCTGAATAACCTGGGGTTGGTCAGTTCGGGAATGATATCTCAAGGCCGTCACCCTTTTGCGAGGCAGGCACCCGATAAGCCCCTCAAGGGGCCCTCTTTGCAGCATAGTCGGCCGCCCTAAGTGAAGGCAGGCTCGACAGACCCTCTCGGCCTCTTTTCCAGGCCCCACGCAACTGAAAGAAATTCAGTCAGTTGCGCAGCGCCAGTTGGTTGAAAGAATCCAGGCCCTGGGCCGCCTATGTGAATGTATGGAAAGCAGGCCCTGGGCTGGATATGGGTACTGGGCCAGACACAGGCCAAGGGCAGTTGGGCGCACACAACCACCACAGGCCCAAGGCCTGCATTGCGTGGACTGGGCCTCAGGCTACCGGGGCCTACTGGAAGCTTCCTGGGACTTGACGCAGGCAGGCCACTTCGATATAGCAAAGGGCCTGCCTCCGCATTCGGCATTCGGGTGCTGGCTGCATGCTTCGCAAGCTGCTGCGCTATTTGCTGGCTGGCGCCTACGCTCTCACGGGCGAGCAGGGAAGGAGCACGCAGCCATAGCCGAGCTGCGCTGCTGTAAGCTGGGTGTGGGACAGGGTGGTCCTTGGGTGCTAGTGGCATCTGTGCGTTGGGGAACGAGGTTGTGAGTGTGGCGAGAGACATACCTGGTGCTGGAAGCGTGCGACATTGGTCGCCATATGCTCGTACTACGGGAAAGCTGTTGACGTCATCTTTCGGCATCGTAGTGTAGGCTAGATAGGATCTGCCACATGTAGTCTGGGCGCCGAGCGCCAGATAGGATATCAACTCTGGTTCTTCGTTGATGATGATGGGACTATTTCAGCATTGTCAATTATGAACTCTTGGTGTGTTCATATTTGGTGAATCTCGTGATGCAATTCTGCTGTTGGTTTGAGGTCAAGACTATCTGGACTCATATGTATGATGCTGTTTGATTGTTGAAGTTCGCTATTGCCCGGCCACTTTGCTACACACCCAACAAGACCGATTCGTGGTTGCCAGAGTACAAAAAACACTGGCACAACATCCCTCAGCCACTTTGCTACACACCCAACAAGACCGATTCGTGACTGTCAGCTGGATGACCATCCAACATCTGACATTATTGATGCATCAGACAAAAAAATATACGAACCATTGGCTCTGGTGGCCTGTTGTAAATGCGAGACCGCTTCCTGAGAAATGCCTGCTTGCTGAATCCAACACTCGATGGTGTTCCAGTCTGCAAAATAACAACAAAACAAGGGGGCAAAAGTTCAAAACATGACCACCATTGTAAAACACCTCGTTTGGTCACTAAGCAATCCTTTTCCTTAAAGCACCACTCCTAGCATGTTTTGTCCAATGCTCTGTTTGCCCGGCCTTGAAGAAACTGAACAGTCGTGGGGCGATCTTCCCAGGGAAGGCCAGCCTTTTCCCTCCGGTAGGCCTTATCCATGGTTTTTTGCTGTGTTAACACGCGCATCAGAACAAGGTACCCCGGAAAAGGACTGGTGGTTTAAGCAGGGAATGCCGAGAAGAACAAGACAGAACATTTACTGTTGAGGCAAACTCTGACCATCATTGATTTGGAAAACTATCAAAGTGTAAAAAAATCTAGGCTGCACTCCGGGCCGCCCGGCGCCCGGCTCGCCGCCCGGGCGGGGGGCCGGGTCGCCTGGCCGGT